CCGGGGGGGGGCCGGGGTGGGGGGGAAGGGGTTTGGGCAGTGTAGTTATGAAAGTGGGGAAGGTCCATCCAAGAATAAAATGTTTCGCAAACATATGGCAGTAGAATTGTGAGTCGCCGAGCATGCCGAACCGCTACGAGATTGCCACCAAAAGATCTTTTGTGTCTGATGCTAGAGACGCCGCAAGCGCCCATATTGAACTTGGTGTCAGATTTAGGACAGCATGGCTTGGGACATTTTATCCCCCCGGCTGAGGACGGAAGCAGAAAAGAATTCCAAACACTGCTTTGGTCATCGTTTGGCGTCGGTAGAGCGTACCCGACGGTAGGGGATGGATACCATATCCGCTTCGGTTACACCCCGCTCAGCGTAGCCTCTACTGGCCTCGAAGCGGACAAAGCCACTCGCCACCCTGAACCTCTACGATGACTGACATTTCACCCATTTCCCTCACATTCGTGGAATTGACGTCGACCTTCATATTTAGAAGAACCCTTACGGTGTGTGGGTCGTTTCTCGTGGCCGCTACGTGAAGGGCCGTGACACCTGACCCCTGAGAATGCGAAAGGGACTGGCGAATTAGTTGCAGCAGAAACGGGTGGCGGATATCACGGGACCAGAACTACGGCACTACCAATGAGGAGGGGAACGATACAGCTGAGGTCTGTGAAAACAGTACCATATCTTCGCTTCGAGACGGGCGACTAGAGCATGGAATGCTCTCGCCACACCCCCATCGAGAACATTCTCAACCGTTTCAAAGAGCACTATGCCCAAAGTTCAAGCCTGATACACGGAAACCCGCTACGAGCTATACAAAGTGCAGGAAAAGGCCAATCGAGAGGTCGTTCTAGTGTCGCGTCGAGCATGAGGCCCAGAACGACAAACACGGAAAGCACGCCACGATACACAGCTGGTGCCCGTGATTAAGCAGCAAACGTTCAAGAAACGAAGGCTCAGATTTGGGCGAAAAACAAGAAAAATCGACACACAAGCATACCTCAGCCGCTGATCCTACACGTAACGCTGAAAGACCTATGCTGGACGACGGTGATGAAATATGACAATGAGCCTCAACCCCAATCGACGTCTCTTAAACGCGTACGCTAGCTGTACAGTAGGGAACACGCACGTGCTTGCCCTCGATCGGGCACCCCTGCGCGAAGAGCTCCTCCACGCACCAAGCGCGACCAGCAGCCGCAGCGGCGAGAACTCGGTCCTCGGGAGGCAAGACAGCCAGACGCCGAAGTTCACGCTCATTTTCAAACAGCTTCAGCAGCGGTTCGAAAGGCAGACGTCAACCAGTCGGTTAGAATGGTGTAGGCCGTGGTTCGATCGGCAGTTCGTGGTACGCTTGTTCGTGTCTACATGCAACCACATTGACAAGCTCAACATGTTGACAGAGAGACGGCCGGTATGACACCGAAGCGTTGATAATGCCTGTGATCAAATAAGAAAAAAGGGATCGTACGAAGGCCATACCTCGTAGCTCATGGGAAGAGGATGCGGATAGATCGGTGTCCACCGTAAGTAGAGCTGGGGATCTCGTGCCAGGTGGCGGTCGTTCTCGTGTTGAGACAGGCAGCCATCTCGAGCGATTAGTTTCTGGACATCAACCTGGGCTCGACATTTATTTTCGGAAGAGACAGAAGTGTAACGTCAACGAGGGCAGGATGGGCTAATGTTCGTTGTCTTGAACGTGGCAGAACAAATATCCTGGGGGGTCCTGAAAACAAAGGCGACAGGTTCAAATAGAACACGTCATTATCTCACATAATATGTTGGTACCCTACCAAAATATCCGCCATGCACGAGTTGAGTGAAGGGTGGGTCATTCGTTCTGCAAACCGCGCTAGGACTCTTCCAGTCTCTCCACAGTTCGTGGGACACGTATTGTGAGAAAGTTTACATGGAAGTAAGCGCATCTTTCCGAAAACGTTGTTCAACCCCATGTTCTGGCCATCGCATTGGGGATGCACGGTCTATTCCCCCAAACTTGTCAGACTTGCGTTTGGGCGGAGGTTCGAGGCTAGCGAAGCATGAGACACCTGAGGGTACAGTAGTGAAGTTCTAATGGCATCGCGTTAGGAGAGGACTCTAGCCAGAGGTACGTGGCTGGTCGTAGATGGGTGAAAACATGTCAAGTTAGCGACACAACGCGCCGCGTTGTGGGGCACGGGCAACAGGGTCGGGGTCTGCATTCCCTGTAACTCTAACGTTACCGCGAACATTGTCCGTACCGACTTTTGCATCATTCTCCTCCATTCTTGGCAAACTGTGGTTCTAAGAGCTGGTGAAAGTGAAAATATTCGCACAAGAGAAGAGGGCATGGGCCGTGAATGAGTTTGGCAAAGAGCAAAATACTGCAGGCAACGGCTGAGTTGCACCCCTCCCGTCTCAACGTCCCCAGGTATGGACGAAAGATAGAGAATCCCTGTTGTGATACCCTTGGGCTTGTGCGCCAAGTTTCCACCGAACGGTGCAAACATTGTGCCAAGAACAGCTGGGACAGGAGAACAAGTCGTGACTGTTGGAACAGCAAAGTTTTGTAGACTACAGTCAGCAGTCTCCTACAGTTGTAGACTCTAGACTAGGCTGTTGGATTGCGGGTGAAGAATGAGGAAAGATACACCAGCCCGCTGAAGCTCCCGGTCCACCTTCGAGCTCTGCCTAAGCTGTAGGGCTTTCTCTCTCTTCGCGGTTAGTTCTCGCCGCCTCGTAGAGTCGACTAGTGCTTTCTGGAAGGGCGTCAGGGTGGCCACGGTAATTGCTGCTTGGTTGTGTTCTCGACGTAGGCCATCTTCGATTGCAGTCCGTGTATCATTCTTTCCTGCAGGGAGGGGCATTTCCTCCGCGGCCGTACTCTTCTCGTGGATAGCTTTGAGCACTCGAACACCGGGCTCTCCTTGTCCTCCCGGTCGAATTACGGGGCTACAAACTCCGGGAGCCTCGTCTGCTCACGTATGGGTATGCACTGCCTGTGTACAACAGCAGTGTGCAGAAACGAGTACTTGCGGTGGGGTGGGGTTTAGGGAGGACAAGCCGAAAAGGTACGTATTCCGCCGCACCAAACCGGGAAAATATACGACTATCCGTCTATAAATGGTATGCCCATGTGGGCGTGGCACAGCTGCTAGTCAATATTTTTATTCCCTTGGCCACAATCATGCTATTTCGCTATTTCGCTTATGCCCCACGAATGCCGTGGGTGATCTCCTTTTGTAGGGGTGCCAATGCTTCTTCTCCAAAGTGTGGAAGTTCAAGCTTGTGAGAATCCAATCAAACGTGTTTGAGAATCCAATCAAACGTGTTGAAGACTATACTGTAGGCAAATGCCACCCAACAACAGCACAAACTCATATCATCACGCACTCTGCATCGCGTGTGCACCAACACAATGCGAAGGCCAAGTATCAAGTGATCACTACGCTGTTGGAGGATTTGCAAATCTGCTTGGCGCCATGGTTAGCCTCTAGTTATCCGATCTTTGTTGTCCACAAAAAAGACGGCAGATCATATTCTTTGATCAAGAACTTGCAAGAGTAGTTACAACGTGAGGATGCCGAGGGATTCATCTCCGCGCCGTTTGCCGTTGTTAAACAACAGAATTAAAAACTGCCAAGGTTTTATGCTTCAAACTTGCGCCACACGGGGCGGATGGCAGCAGCTACACTCCCATCTAGGTACTACACGTGTGTACAACAAATGCGCAACGTCTAGAACGGCGACCGAGTGTCAGTTTGGTTGAAATCAGAAGCAGAATATCGCTCAACTACAACCAAGGCGTTTTGCGGAGACCTGAAGTGAGAGAATCTGGAGAATCAAAACTAGGGTGAAAATACGGATTAGACACGGCTCACGATTGGTATCGACCGCAACAGAAACGGACCCCCTAAAAGGAGCTTCTGAACAACGCGGGTGACTCGCCAACCTCGCCGAGTTTTGTGAGACATGGTGTGCCACGGTATCGTAGTAATACGTCGGAAGGTTGATCCTCCAGCGGATCAGCTGGCGACTCCACTATTGAATTTTTATGATCTGGTAGGTCGAGCTGTTCGCGAATCGTTGGGGGGCAGCAATAATGGTGCGGTCTGGTCGCAGTCCAATATGCCAAGGAAACAGCAAGACAAATCGCCCGAAACTCGAAGACCTGCCTCACGTGGTTCACTCTGTGTTACCATCGGTAGCGTAGAGCAGAATCGGAGGTATGACAGGGCGAAGAGCCAGGTGGACCCTCGTCAAACCTCCAACACCCTCCATCCTATATATGGGGTAGGTGATCGCATCGTTCCCAGCAGATATCAGCCAAAGCGCAAAAGTTGGGAGCGAAGTGAGCGCAAATCTCGGGATCAATAGCAATGAACATGCTTCGCACACACCGATCGTCGTAGCCGAAACCCTCTCCCGGTCTAGGTTTGAATTGGCGTTTCGCTCCGAGGATCTCTGCCACAATACACAGGTCGTCCGTCACGATGCTCCATCAAGACACCGCCACGCCTGAGTCGAACTGGCAATCGTGCGACTTGAATGAAGAATACCACTGCAGCGATATGGCCACTTTCCTCGTGCCTGTGCGGCCACTCATGGTGGTGCTCTCGACACCCATGTGCAAGAACCACGTACTCGAGGAAAGCACTCACAATACACCGAAGCAGCAGCAGGAACTCTCCACTCTGCCTCTCTCACAGGAGTCCCATCGATACATCAGTGGAAAGGTCTCTTACACTCCTGTGTGATACTTGTTCGAGATTGTTACCAACGCACACCCCGTCAATCGAGCTGGATCTCGTTCGGATCGTCCCTGGCAGCGTCGAGATCGATCTCGTACTTGTCGTCCTGCACCGCCGCCGACCCCTCCGCGTCAACCCCTCCGCTTCCCTCTCCATGTAATGAGCCCCCTCCCCCGCCGCCGCCGCGAAATCTCGATTGGAACCCCGGACATGGTACGGTAACGACGTGGTCTAGGCCGAGCATGGCGAGAAACTCGTCTGTCTGAGGGTTGGGAAGGAGGGACTGGGGCGGCTTCGAGGATTTCTATGACAAACCAAGACGCACAAAGAGACGAGGAAAACGAAAGAGGCGAGAGCGTCAGGCCGACAAAAGAGAGGAAAAGACAAATGGCACAGCATCAGCAGCGGCAGAAAGGAGCAGCATAAAGGAGCATCAGCAGGGGAAACTCGATTGGGGCAAACAAACGGCAGTCGAGGACAGCATGTGCCCAAGAGGAGTTGGTTTGACTTGATCATGACTTCCGTGGGTCTCATCTCCGCAACCTCCACGTGTCCATGACGAGCCGGAGAGAGGGAAAGCGCACAACCAAAGGGGTATCAGTACGGCCGCAATGGAGAGGATATCTCGACGAACTGCGGTGTAGGTGGTGAAAACGCCACCATCCGAAGATCCTCCATGGCCACCGATCGCTTCGCTTTGCGGTGATAAGGATCAAGGCAGTCTGACAGAGCGAGGATCAAACCCTGGTTGCTCACCTGTCCTTGACATTCCATTTGTGACGGCGGGGGTGCGGTCATTGCGAAGTTTTCGGGGATCACCTGAAAGCCCCCGAAGTGAAAAACGACAGACGGCGAACGGACGAAAAGACCAAAAAAGTAGGGCTTTGCCTAAGCGTAGCGGGCAGCAAACCGACCGCGGCAAAACCAAAGGCCCACAGGAAACAACAACAACAACAACAACAACAACAACAACAACAACAACAATAACCACCACCCACCACAACAACGACGAAGACGACGACGTGAGCAAGGACGGACGGTACCACCGGAACAAGAACAAACCGTTTCCCGAGACAAGAAAGGCCAGGTAAGGACGACATGAGCACCCCCTCCCCTCACCAGGGGACCGCCAGGCAGCCCCCGCGCCGCCAGAGCTTCTCGGATAGAAGCCATCTGCTCCACCTGCACTCGCGGTGTTTCGAATGGCATGTCCACCTTATACCGTGCGGCCGTGAGGGGGGGGCAGAGGGACATTGAGGCGGAGCCGAGGTAAGGCGATATATCAAGAGTTGAGAGGGAAGGCGGGAGATATGATTAAAGCCCCACGAAAAAAAGCGGGAGGAAATGGACGAAGCAACACACATGCAAACAATGGAAAACATGTGCATAGGGCGGCATGGACCGGGGGAAACAAGGCAAAGGTTGGAGATAAGAGCTACAGATGTAGCTACTTTTTGTGCTGAGGGACAAACGTGGTACTGTAGAAAAATCCGAGGCTTGGGCAAGGTTGGTTTGGAGACGGGCACGAAAAGCGCGGCAGGTTCGCCAACGCACATGTTCCAAGGTACAGGAGGGGTGCCCAAGTACAACTTGATAGACATCGGACCCTCAAAACGTTCCTGCAGCAGGGACAACGACACTTCCAAGCGTTCCATCTGCTTCCTGACCAAGCTAGTGTGCCCACGACACGATCATACCATGCAGGACTGTCTCACCGTGCGGCAATCTACGGGCTAAATACTCCTCGTATCATATCTACCACCACCACCGCCGCGACAAGGAGAGCGGACCAAAAAACAAAGACGTCGGCAACAACACACAACCGACACCAGCTAGACACCAAGCACTTAACACGAGCATTTCATCACAGCGCATCGCCAACATCTGCACAGCATCCCTCAACCGCACAAAAAAAAAAAAAAATGCGTTGTCCGTACATGCCCTCGTGAATTGGACAGCAGGTAGTGCGACTTCTGCACGATGCTCAGCCACTCCACGTCGTACTCGAGCAGCACCTCGTCCCCCTCCCCGCCGCCGACTACCCCCGGCCCCTGCTCCTGCCCGTTCGGTCGCGGTACCGACACGAGCTGGAGGAAATCCCTGCACACAGGAGGCGGACGAAAACATCGAAATGAAACGCCATCACCTTCAGGCTTCGAAGAACACGGCAACCAGGATCCTTGTTGTCGCGGCATGGCGGTGATGCCTCAAACAGAACACGAGCACTTCATGCTCGGAAACACGCGCGTCCGGGCTCGGCGAGACGGCGTCGGTGGGAATGGCGCCCGATTTTTCGACTCGATCAGCGCAGAGGTTCAGTCCCCTATCTATGCCTTCGGCCCCCAGAAATACAGCGTAGCAGACAAGCAGCCGGACAGGGCCTCCGCACCCAAATTAGACGATGGAACAGATAGATGACGCCTGCCTTCCGTTTTCGCTGTCTCTGCCGTTGAATGGTTGGTCGGATCAAGGTTTGATCCGACGTTTTTTTTCGGGTTGTTGTAGGCCACCATACATACTTTGCCTGTTGGAATGCTTTTCGCACAATAAATAGAACAAACACATCGCGTGTTCCATGTAGAGCGATCGGCAAACAAATGTATACATTCATGACTCCCTACATGAATTGATGGATGTAGGCACAAAGCTGAACGTCAAAATTAGCGCTGTCATGTACGTGTGACTCTCTATTTCTCTCTCTTCCCCCCCCCTCTCTCTACCCATCTCAAAACCCGCGCCAAAAACGCGACAAGCGAATTGAAAAAAGGGGTGGGGGGGAAGGGTCAAGCCTTGACCCAATAACCGCCGCCGCCGCGGTACCTCTTACCGATCTGGAAGGCACTTGTCGAGCGAGAGGAATCGCGTAACTCCCTTCACCTCAGAGCCTTCCCGACCCTGCCCGTCCCTGGGAGACCCGTGCCTTGTTGCCGTTGTTGTCGTTGTTGTCGTCGTCGTTGTCGTCGTTGTCGTTGTTGCCACGTTGGTCGTGAGAAAAACATACGGAAGAGGGAGGGAGGGAGGCGGGAGACAACAGGAGGGGACAGTGACGGCATTCGTGGGTTCCACCAGCGAAACATGCCCGGAAGTACGCGAAGCACGGAGGATACACACAAGGGCAGCGGCACTAGCAAGCATGCAAGATCCCGACTGTGGTGGCGCCTCACGGAAGCAGCTTGTGTTGATGCAGAGTTTTCTCCGGCGTGGAAATAATCCGGATCGAGAAAAAGCTTCTTTTTTTTTGTTCTTGCGTCAACACCGTAGAGGAGCAGCAAAAAAAAAAGTGTCGACGGTTGAGCGGAGACGCCACAGTGGCGAGAACATCTACGTCGAGATGGGAAGGGCGAACAGCGGCGAGACTGGCTCCGGTGCATGGCAGCATACCGCCTGAAGACACTAGATAGGAGCAACCAAGCTTTCCAACGAAAGGCGAAGGACGACGTTCTCCAGTAGTGAACGGCCAAAAACATGTGCCGGCCGGAAACACAGTGATAGGAGTGACCCAATCAGTCTAGCATCACATGCGAAGAATGACCTGCTCTCGAGCGGTCGAAAGAGTGATGCTGCGAGGGCGGGCTCTTGTCGGCAGGGCCGCTAGCGCGGGACAAGTGAACGCACGACTTCCTCGCCCACGGTCACCCGGCACCCAAGCGCCTGGAAGAATGCCTGAATCTAGACGTCGACTCTCAGGTAGTTTAAACAAGCAGGAGGAATAAAAACGAGACCATCACAAGCATGACCCGACAACGCCACATGTAACGACTCGACCCTCTCGAGCACTAACGTCACACCTCACGACGGCCGGGAACTTGACGTGCAGGTGGGCGGCGAACCAGTAGTCCGGCTGGACCTTGTGCAGCAACTGCTCCGCGGCGGCGCTGCCCAAGGTGTTGTCCTCCACCTGTCGTCCCCATCCCGGAGGAAGAGTCGATGTGGTGACGTCATCACCATCATCACGACAAAAAAACAAAACAGAGGAAGGCAGTTGGGCCTGCGCAATAAAAGGGGCAGTTATAAGGCCTCCTGTTGTACAGCTCATGGGGTGTACCCACAACCGCGCCCTCGCAGAAAGGGGCCCCGCAATGTGGACCGACGAAATGAAGGAGGGCTATCCTCGTACGCTTTGGAAACATTTCCTTGGTATTACTTCGTTGAGCATAGGCGGATTATTGCTTGGTTTTGAGACGCACGCCACGCTCATGGGGCACTTGACCCCGGAGGATTATCCCGACGGGGTCATCCGGTGTTGTGGCTGGTGGTGGAGTCTCGGCGATAAAAAACGTTCCGGTTTTCTGCGTACGGTAGCACCTTCCCGGCATCTGCACCGGTCCAACTGACGCGGACGCATTCCGTGGTCATAGGCCCACTTTGTCCCCCAAAACAGGTGAAAACTTCCCCAAGACACCAAGGTAAACATAAAAATAAAAGGCAAGACAAGCATCACCACAAGGTGTAGGAAAATCGAATGCCTTGGCGTACGCAAAAAAAAAAAAAACGTCTGTAAAACACCGCGCGCGTTGCACAGCAGGTGAAAAACACAAAAAGACGGCACACCAAACGCATGGAAGCAAGCATACCTCTTTCTTGAAAAACGGTTTCTTCCTGAACAGATAACTGGCGTCCCCGTAGCGCACGATGCCCCTCGGCCAATCGTGGGACAGAAACAGGTCCAAGTGTCCGGTGAGCTTCGGGGAAAAAAAAAAAAGAAAACGAGGGAAAAAAAAAAAAGAAAACGAGGGGAAAAAAAAAAGAGGGAACAAGGAATCGGACGCAAGGGAAGAGAGACCGCAAGACGAACCGAGAAACAAAAAATTGAGAAAAAACACTGCTTTGCGCGACCGCTGTATAGCATGTATCGTACATAGCCCCCTCAGACTCCCTGAGAATAACCAATCATGCGAGTGGAAAAAACAAGGCCGTTTCCTCAAGAACAAAAGCGCATGCGTATGGTAGTCCTGATGCCCCGCAAGGCCATGGCAATGGAAAAATCTGATAGCCGGAGGTGGCCAGGGAGGGGAGGGAGGGGAGGGAGGGGACGGGGAGCATGTGCGCTATGAAGCAAAGCAACACGTGCACCACGCCTCCAGTCCCGGCAACACCACCGCAGGAAAAAAAAAAGGGCGACACGAACTGCTGTGGATCCACAATAATTCTCGCATACAAAAGAAGCAGGATCAACCGTGTCAAACAAGACAAGATCAAGGAATAGCAGGGAAAAAAAACAGCAACAACAACAACAAAGGGCCGACCGTCCGACGTGCAAGTGGCAACACCACCAACGGACCGATCCCGCTCCAACGCACAACACAAATGCATACCCCGACGCACCTGCGCCAGCTTGAAGACCTCGAGCTCCCGGACGTAGTAAACCGACCGCAGGGTGTCCCTGTTGTACGGAGGCCTTTCGTGCCGGCCCTCCCTGTAGCTCCTGGAGTTCGGGGTGGGTACAGGGAAACGCCAAGGGTTGGGAACAAAAAATTGGGAGTCTTGGGGACATTGTACACAAGGCACCTCTCTGCTGGGAGTGGGCGAAAGAGACGAGGGCATCGAACCCGCAAATTCTTTATTGGCCGGCGAACAGAAGAAGAAAAAAGAAGTACGGAACTGTAAAAAAAGCAACATGGCAACACTCGCGCACTGTTGCGAACTCGGTGTCGGACTGTGCAACAAAAACCATTTTCATTTTGAATTTTATTCGTGTAGAAGGGCTAAACGATATGCAGTTGCCCTGCCAAACCAGATTCTTCACGATGACGCATGCATCATAGAAGAGATAGCAGAATGCATATATACACAGGAGTACGGCAAAACATAACAGCAGCCCTGACGATTCTTTTTCCAGACACTGCTCCAGGAGCATGTGGCGCCGTCCGAATTTGTTTTTCAGAGTTTGTCGCAACAAGAAATAAAACGGGAACGATCCAGATGTACATAGGCGGTAATGGTGGACGACAATCGACGAAACACAAAACTCCTGTGCCAGCCCCTGCATTGATCGAACTCTCCTTCTGGTGGCCCCTTTGCCCTCACTCCTTTCGACGACTTGCCTCCGGTTGAAGATCCCGGTCATGCCGGCTATCCTTACCCCTCCTACCCTGATGACCCCCGCGAACCCAAGGAAGTAGATCTTGGGCGCTACCCATCCCCCGTAGTGGAGTTCCTGGTAGCACAATTGTTTAGAGAGAGGGGGGAAGGTCAAAGAGCTCGGACAGGTCTCAAAGGAGGGTGTACTCATAGGGGGGTGTACTCATAGTCGTGCATGCCGTAGTCGTTAGACCATTGACCTCGCATCCCTACAAAGCCGGGACGGAGCACGCCGGGTTCTCACCGGACCAGGCTCTCACATCACCAAGCGCGAAGCGCCGTGAGATATTCGGCGAGTCGCATGAAGGGTGCGCTGCATCCTGCTAAGGGTGTTCGGCATCTTGTGCTTACTTCCTTGCGTACGGATGACAGCTGCGTATGAATTAATTTATTTTCTGGTGCTTTCACTTCCAGAGACAGTTGTAAGCACTGTGTAACTGCCTCGAGGGTGCTTGACCATTTTAACACAACGTGGTGCGATCATCCCCCTTGCGCGGAGTGAGGGTTCACCCCGCACAACATGATCTACTCAACCATCATTATGGTTACCGCCCAAAAAAAATAAACGGAGGAAAAAAAAAAAAACGGTAACCTGGTTGCCGAGTTCACGAAGTGAAGTGGCTTGTTTTACAACGTCGTTGCCAAGCGACGAAAACCCAACCCCGATGGCAAACACCGGGGGGGGCGGCTTGTTTTACAACGTCGTTGCCAAGCGACGAAAACCCAACCCCGATGGCAAACACCGGGAGGAGGGGGGGAGAATTTAACGAGCGCAAGGCCGGAGGGGGGGTAACATCGTTTCCAACGTACTCGAGGAAGGGGAGGGAGTGTCGTCAGCTCTCGCTCTATCGATCGATCTATCTATCTATCTATCTATCTATCTATCTATCTATCTATCTATCTCTATCTCTCTCTCTCTCTTTCTCTTTCTCTCTCTCTCTAGAGGTAATATTATAGCAGAGACTCGCATACTCGTTCAACACCGTCGACACGACGTCGTTTGTGCAGAGGGGCACGGAGAACGAGCTTTGAAAAAAAAACGCAATGGTGGTAGTGAGGAAGAGCCGGGGCGAGCACATGCACCAGAGCATCAGTCGTTCCTGGAATTGCAGCGCTATACACACCAGCAGCAGCAGCTTATCGCGTTTGACATGTTGACCGCACTCACTAGCTGACCAACGGCATCCATGGCGCCAGCCGTGAAAGCGTTGGACTAGAGGCCACCATCCCCCCACACACCAAAGACCGACACGCCGGGGACAACGGCAACGGAACCATCGCCCCCGCCACCTGCCAACAGCCGCTTCGGAAACCGTAGAGAGACAACCCTCCCCCGCACCAAGATTAGTAAGACTGCTGTACACAGATTTATAATTGTTTATTTCTTTTATTCGTTGAAGTTCGCTGGGCTCTCCGAGACAAAAAAAAAGTCAGCTGTGTCAGCTGTGAAGTATCACTGATGGTAGTCGGCACACAGCTGATTTCACACCAACGAAGCGTTACGCTGTCATCTTTGATACCGCCTTGACGGCATCGCTACAATGCTCTGATGAGCCCACTCCGGAGGTGATCCTTGTACATACCTGCAAATAAGAGGAGGCCTCGTGGTTGCCTCCGATGAAGATCGTCAGCACCGGGGCAACGAGCTCCCCGCTGTAGTACTTGTGGAACGTTCCCTGACAGGCAGGCGTTGGAATATCATGCAATACACACACGGGTTGGTCAACGTTATGATAACGGAAAAAAAAACGACACTATTGTATCATCGCGTACTTGCGTTGCTGGCACACATGCGTGCACGCTACCACCAGGATGAATTTCTTGAGACCGTCCGTTTCCCTGCTATTGCAGCACAGCGTGTCCCTCCCCTAGCCTTTAATCGAAGTCACGGTTTGAGCAAAGCCTGGCACTGCTCGAATGCCACCAGGTACGTATGTTGTATAAGCGTGCCACCAGAAAACGAAATTTGTTCGGCGGGATCGAGCAAGTGCAGCTTACCTTCGGCTGTCGGGGCAACTTCAGTGCCGCACGCACGCCACCGCGTTTAACGCAAAAAAAAATAAAAAAAACAGCACCCAAGTTCGTGGAACCTCCCTTTATCAGCGAGAATTTTACAATTTTACATCGCCGTCGGTGACGATGTCGATAGTCTCGTTGTTGTCCTCATGCTGATTCCAAACGATGCCAACAGTAAACAGTCTCTGTCAACACGTTTTTCGAGTGAACCGCCGGGGGGACCCGAGGGCAACCTGCTCGAGTCGTTTTCCAGCATCCAATTCAACCGCGGACAGCCCCGTGAACAAAAAAAAAAAGCGTCGATATATGTCATAAGCCCTGCACCGACCCGGCCGCGTGGATACACAACAGTGTAGGCTCTCCTAGAAAATATAAATATACATACCATCAAAGCAAGACTGATGTACCCTTTCTAGATAATACCATGGCGGAAGGGGATGTGTTGCAGTGAACGGGAAGGGACAACCGGCTGGGCTGGTGCTTTCGTCTTCACATTCCTTCAAACAAGGATTACTCAAATAAAATGGACCCGAAGGGTTTGCAAGCCAACTTGAGCCAGCAACAGGTCAGCCTGGGGCCCTCCGCTCCCCTTTACACTAGGCTTATTTAGAGTCTTTGAAAAACTACTTCGTTATAAGTGATGCCAGCAGGTGCTGTCCGAACCGTGCTTTTCTCTCTTGTTTCTAGTTCTGCCCCTGACTCTGACTCACCAGGTGCTTGTACTTGTCTGGGCAGGCGAGGCCGTCGAAGTCTTTCGTATTCCGCAGGCACTGGAAGTCTCCGCAGCAGATGAGCAGGTCCACCTTGATGCCCTTGATCTGTTCACCCACCCGGATTCAGGGTACCGTGTAAGCTTGCAGCACGTTGGTTCATGTTGATCTGGAAATCTACAAAACCAGCGACTTGTGTTTACACTTACAGTAGCGCGAAAAAAAATCGCCACAAGAAAGAATACGTTTGCACAGTGTCCTTTATTCTGGTCATGCAACGTCAGACACCTGCTTTGTCGTTTGCCTCAATCCGGTATCCAAACGCCATGTGCGGCAGGTGGTGTGTGCTACTTACTGTACATCGATTGCGTGTGCTGTGTGCGATTCGAAACATGTGCATCCCACCCCCGGCGTGAACGGCCGCAGCTACTACATAGGGCGGGGTAATGAGCCGCTGGGTAGCGACTCCATACCTTGCAGTAGTCTTATCTGCGATCCTGATGGTAAACGAATCCCGACACACAGCAGCGTGAATCGTTTGTGGTGCAGCTACGCGTGCACGGGAGGGACAGACCGCAGGGGTGCGACGGGCGCGACGATGGTTGTATGTGCGGCCCCGTTCAAAAATTTTCCCTTTACACTTTACATGCGGTTGTTTCTTTTCCGTTGATGCATATGCACACACCCACGAAGAAGCAAAATGTGAAGTCTTCCCGCTGTGCGGACGCAAAGACACATCGGGGAGTTACGCATGCGGGCACCTGGAGGCGAGCGCATCACACATCACACCGTCGAGGAGCACGACCAGCAGCGTAGACATAGGAATTGTGACAAGACAGATGGTAAATTTTGGTCAGGCTCACAATTTGCCCGCCACATTCGTCAAGTGAAAGCAAGCAGTCTACATATTGCATCATACATCACGGGACTGTACATACATGCGTACGCATCACTAATAACAACAAAGCCGTTGATGGTCATGACTTTGATGCGAGACGCAACAACAGGCAGGCCACGTATTTTCCGAAGATAGTCAGTAGCCCGGCGCAAGTTCTGCAACCTGAACCGATCCCGAGGGAAACCATCCTGATAACGCACAGCAGCAGTAGTAGTAGCCCCTCACGCGTCTTCGGATTCTCTCGATGGTAGGTGCGATCGCTGGACTTGGGAAGGTGTGTTATGTTGTGTGTGTTGTTCGTTTGTGATAATCGGTCTGCTGTTGTTTTGGAAGCAGTCGGTTTTGCACCACTCAACATCAACAACAGCCGCCAGGTTACACACGGCGCATGAATATTATTGTACTAGAGTTGGAGGTGGAATAGTTTTTTGTGGTGGTTGCACAAAAGTACCTGCAGAAGGCTCGTGCGTCTGTTCATTGGCTGGCTCGAGTGCTTTTCTCGTCGTACAGACGAACGGGGGGCGGTCCATCATCACCAGCTAGAGAGGGGGGTGGCATCCATCATCATTCGCTAGAGGGGGGGGTGGTGTCCATCATCAGCTAGCCAGGGGGGTGGTATCCATCGTCAGCCGTGA